GGATTTCACTAACATGTCTTCGATGTAAACTTCCATTGTCTTCCTGATCTGTAATGTGAAGATTTTGTTGACGAAGCGTTGATAAGTCGCCCCAGCGTTTTTGAGTCCGAATGGCATCACTCGGTAACAGAGATGCCTTGTTCTGTGTCGAATGCATTTTTTTCTTGATCGTCGGGGTTCATCATGATCTGGTTGTAACCAGCGAAAGCGTCCATGAATGACAACAACTTGTTTTCAGAAGTTGATTCTACGAGGCGATCGATGTGCGGTAATGGGAAACTGTCTTTCGGGCAGGCTTTGTTATGGTCGGTGAAATCTACGCAGACTTTCCATTTGCCGTTTTTCTTTTTTACTACGATTGGGTTCGCGAGCCAATCGAGATATTTTTGCCTCGGTGATGGAGTCGATCCTTAGTAATTTTTCTACTTCGGCTTTCACGGCTTCTGCTCGCTCTCGACCCAATTTCCTCCTCTTCTGCTTAACAGATTTAAAAGTCGGGTCGATGTTGAGCTCGTGTGATACGATGTCAACACTTACTCCGGGCAGATCTTCTGGGGACCAGGCGAATATATTGACGTTTTCTCTGAGGAATGTGGTGAGTTCAGCTGTTAATTCTTCTCCTAGATCTCCGCCGATTTCCACGCATCGCTCGGGTTTTTTGTCATCAAGGCAGATAGATATTACCGGATCAGGGATTGGTTTTGTGGATTCCCGAGCCTCCTCGATCTTTAGCTATAACTGCTCGGAGATTGCTTTCTCTTCAGCTCGGCCAAGCTTAGCCTTCTTATGATTCGCGTCGGACGTTGACTCAGTGACTGGGTTCCTGAGCTTGTGTGCTGCGATGAAGCAGATTCGAGCATTTTTCTGATTTCCCCAGATGGTTTTCACGCCGTTGCTCGTGGGAAATTTCAGGCAAAGATGATATGTCGAAGCGACAGCTCGGAATTGATTTAACCATGGTGTGTCGATGATTGTGTTGCAAACGGTCGGCTGGTCGGTGACAGAGAAATCGACGATTTTTGTTACCCCTTTGGCTCAGACTGGTAACTTGATGGTCTCGAGAGTCATGGTGGTTTCCCCAGAGAATCCGAGCACAGGTCGCGGAGTTGGTACAATTTGGGTCATGTCGACCTTCATTTCTCGCAGAGTCGTCAGAAAAATGACGTTCAGTGTGCTTCCCGTGTCGACCAGAACTCGTTCGACGTTGAAATCACCAATGGTTAATGTGATGACTAAAGGATCGTTGTGCGGACGATCCAAGCCGTTGGTATCACTTTCGTGAAAAGTTACTTCGTCATCTGATCCGTTAAATGGCCGCGTCCAGTTACAATTTGAGTCGGCCTTCCTTTGATAGGCTTTGATTGATGCCGTCGTGTCTTGACAGAAAGCCGAATCTCCTAAAATTGTGAAGATCCTTCCTCGAGCAGCTTCTGGCTCATCGTCATCTGCTTAGCGATTACCTCGGCCTCTTTTGGATCCTTTGAGGTTCGCCGCGGGGGCCGCCTGCTCGGGATTGGCCACAGCATTGACCTGCTCGGTTTTGGCATCCTCTGCTTCTAAGTCCTCGATGGTTAAGCCTCCACCGATTTCTACGGCTAGGAATTTTGCTGCCAACTTTGCCGAGAGGAATGGACATCTGGAAGTATGATGGCCGTAACTTTTATGCAACTCACAGTATTCCTGTTCCGTTTCCTGCGGGTTGATCCTTCGTCCAAGTGTAGGATTCTCATCCGCGTCCTCGACCGCGGCCTCGTCCTCGGCCTCGGGGTGTATCAGTTTGGTAATTGTGGGCTTCGGAGAAGTTTCATCCTTCATGGTGAACGAATGTCCCGCCTTGAGCGCCATTTTTGTGATTCGGGGCGTTGAGTTGGGATTTATCGCTACGAGACGTTTCCTTAGGCGGCTCGTGTCTTTTTCATAGTTGTTCCTTTTCTTCTTCATGGGAAACGTAATCCGAGACTCGGTACAAGGAATCTAGGATTGTCTGCGGTTTGGACAAGTTTAGCTCCTTTCGAAATTCGGACTTGTACCACAGTGCTTTCCTCAGAGCAGAGAGAGCCGCTACGTCGTTGATTCTTTCGACTTTGGCTAGGGTAGATCGGAATTTCACGAGGAAGTCTTGAAGTGGCTCATTCGGCTGCTGAAACAATGACCACAGATCAGCGTCTGACGTGCCGAGATCGATTAGCACCGAATATTGCTTTAGGAAGAGCGTCGATAGCTCCTGAAAACTCTCCACGGAATTTCCCTCGAGTCTTGAGAACCAATCTAGTGCTGGTCCTTTCAAGTGTTCGACGAACAGGTGACAGAGACCGGCGTCTCTTTCGTCGGGTCTGAATTTGGCTCGGGCCACAGAGATTATGAATGACTTCAAGTGTCCTTTCGGGTCGGAGGATCCATTGAAGTATTCGATCCTTAGCTTTCCTGGATCTGAGATTATTGCGTTGGAGATCCTGCGTGTGAAAGGAGTGTTGTGGGACTCCTCCAGAATGCGGTCGATGTTTGGGGCCGAGGAGACCGCGTTATGCATTTGGGATCTCACAATTTTCATCTCGTTTTCTGCCTTGGCTAGGGAGAGCTTGATAGCGCTTATTTCGTGTTCTCTGGCGTATTCCTCAGCCCATCGAACGTTCTCTTCTGAATCTTCATCGTCCGAGACCCCGATCTGATTGGCCTCGGCAATTTCTGCACAGGGAAGAGTGAGTTGCGGATCGTTTCCTTCTGTTCGGTTTGTCGTGTCTCGATTCCCCAATATTACCAGCTCTGCTCGGTCTCTTCCAATTTCCTGCGCGGTTCGGCGGATGGGCCCTGGTCGGGTGTATTCACCTCCACCACCTGACCGTCACTCGATCACATCACTCGACCTCGAGGTCGAGTGTCTTCACCTCCACCACCTGACCATCACTTGATCACGTCACTCTACCTTGAAGTCGAGTATCTTCATCACCACTATTAAATGCCGAGGCTGACTCAAATCGTAAAACGAGATGAAATTGTGAAGTCCCCTACTCGACCAGGGGGTCGAGTGGTCTGTTGAGGTCTTGAAGCTTCTACTCGACCTCGTGGTCGAGTGGTTTGACATGATCAGGTCCGCTTCTTCCAGTTAGCTCATCAACAGCTCCAAATCACATGAAATGAACACAAATATACAACATGCATGCAAACATATCCTAAACCTGCAAAGTGATGACAAATGATGAGAAATGGTATAAAACAGTGATGATATGATGCTAAAGTGATGACAAATGGATGTTCAAAACATGCAAAATACACACTTATCAACTCTCCCAAACTTAGTATTTGCTTGCCCTGAAGCAAACAATTAAGAACAAGCTGGAGGTGAAGTTTGAAAGTGGGGACTCAGAGCCAAAGCACCAGATAAACCAGAGGAAATCAATGTCCAAGTTGAAAGTTCTAAGCTGCAATATGATCGAATCCTACTCAAAAACGTTAGCCATGCCTTATTATCAATCAATCCGACTCATATGCTCGACCTACACATGTTTTCAAATCTATCAATCCCTTTAACATTCATTACTTTTGGAACGTGAATCAAGCAATGCATCATCAATGAACTCATTTGCCTAAGGTAAAAGGTCAAGAGACAAAGATGGTCCCTTACAGAATAGGCTTCAGTAACAGGGGATCTCTCAAAAAATGATTAAGCTTTAGTAGAATGCTAAAGGTTAGTCTCAAGCTATGCATACAGAGATAAGATCCCATCTACCCAGAGTATATCAAATGAAGCTCTAATGGTAATCCCATCTCCAATCCCAATATAAGAACTTAACTCTACCCTTTGCATTCATGAATCTTTTAAGCCCTTTTTCTAATCATTCTTTTCTTTTCTCTTAACTCTAGAAGAAGCTTTCTCAACACTTTGATACATCTAGCGGATTTGGATTTCTTTAACAACTAAGGTTCCTATTTTTAACATTTTAAAACCGAGGGCTTTTGCCCATCTTCAATAGCTAACAAGAACTCTTTCTTTTCTTTACAAATCCCAAAACCTTTACTAGACTTTTTCTGCTTCTTTAGCTTACTTCACCTAAAGTCTTTTACCTTTTCTCATCAATGAATCAACCCATTTTGTTTTTCAAACACATCCCAACCCAAAGTATAAGCGCCCACCTAATCCTATCTACTCCAAAAAATGCGAACTAGAACTATATGAGACATTTTCTCTGTCGTTACGAACCTAACACTTTCTACCAAGCTTAATTGGAATAAGACCTCACAAACACTCACAAGTGATATAGGGCTTGAAAGAAAGTCTAGGTTTGGGTTTGGGTTAACTGCTCTAATAAGGAGAATCAGCTACTTGGATTAACAAGAGTGATCAAAATGAATAAGAAAATCCAAGTATTTTAGGATATCCATGAGTTCAAATTTGATGCAGACATGATAATTAAAGATCAGATTTAGGTTAAAATTGATAGGGAATGGTATCAGATCATGACAGTGTGGTCGAGTAGAGCAATCGAGGCATGATTCAGTTTTATTTCAAATTCATTGACTATGCAACAGACAACTAGCAACGAGGGCACTGAGTTTATCCGATGAACCAAAATGCTTACAAGGCTATCTCATCATTATCTCCTATGCACATGCAACAATCCTAAATGAAACACTCTAGACTCGATTCTAAATGTAATGCAACTACATGAACACTCGTTTTTTTTTAAATCATTTTCTGAAATTTTTCAATTTTTTTTTGTTTTTCTATGCCTTAGATGAATGCAGATTCAAAAATATGCAAAATGCAACACACACTTCCTAAGCCCTCCCCCAAACTTAAATCACATAGTCCACTGTGTGAATAAACTTGGAAGAGAGTACTCAGGGCAAATCCATCACAGAAACAAAATGAAGAACAAATCACAACAGATGATATAATACAATGGTGAAGTGAGGCGCTTACCTCAGTCAAAGAATGAACGAAATTGGTCGTTAATGGCTGCCTGTGATTGCTCCCAGGCCATAGACGAACCGCCTTGTTCCGTATCAGCTCCAGCAGGTGGGTACTCGACCTCATCAGCTCTATGGCGGCCAGCACCGCTCTGAGGATACTCGACCTCCCTTCTTCTTCTCCTGCTTCTTGCACCACTTCTGTAGTTTACTGTTGTTCCTATGAGCTTCACTCAAGCTCTTGCTTTCCCTCGCTGGAGGTACATGTTCACCAAAGTGATACATGCTAGTGTCGAACTCCACTGCTCGTTCTTCATCCATCCCATCCTCAGCAGCCTCTTCTAGAAGATCATCCTCATCCAATGGCGGAACGTTCTCATAGTAGAGGCGTCCAATCTCAGGCCGAAAGTCAATGTTATCTCCCTCTATTATCCGTGTAACCTCAGGGCTAGGGAGAAGTATGCTAGCTCTCTTATCTGTAGAGTGCTCAAACCTGAACCGGTGCAAGTCGCCAACCATTGCGAACTCCAGGAATTCGCAGTGACGTAGATGCTCGATATCCATTGCCGGTGTCTCGAGTCCATCAGATGTGATTAGGACTCTGCAAGCTATCAGAATCGGTGTCACAACACCACCTATGCATAGAGCGCCTCGTGCTCTCTTGTGGTTATTGCTGACAGCCCAGTTCTTGTATGCACATAGATGGATCAGAAGAAGTACAGAGAGAGGTGTGTCATTGATTTCACCTTGGAGAGACATGACGTTCTTAGTTTGGCGAAGAGTTCCCTTGAGAGCCATAGCGATCATCTCCATATCAGAATTAGTAACAGTCACTGTGATCTCTCGGGAGTAGAGTACATTGGCTATAGAACGCTGGAAGTACCTGATGACAGGGCTACGTATCTGATTGCTCTTTGACCTGGAAGAGTTCAGCGTTGCAGAGCTGCCAATGGTGATCCATAAATCTTTCAACTCTTCTCTGTCATACTTGGGCTTAGTTCCCGTTCCACTGGGGAAACCAACCAATCCTTCCAAGCGCTTGATTGATAACCTATACTCATGACCATACACAAAGAATCTCAAGAATCCCAATCCTTCACAATCCAACTCATCAGAGGTCATACCTTGATAGAGCTCCACTTGCAGCGTAGAGAGGAATTTAATTGTCTCTTCTTCATATGCTACATACGGATAAGCCATCAGAGTGTCCAGATGACAACTTTGGTACAGGTGCTGAACATCCTCCAATAATTCGAGTTGTGCAAGTGTGGTCGAGCAAGGATACCTCGTGCTACAGAACTCATTCAGTTTGAAGACCCTAATATATTCCTCAGCAAGCAATACATCGGCTTTATGCAGAAATTTGGTGGCTCTGCGACTATGCTCAAGCATGTACTCGTCTTCCAGATCCTCATCTATAAGCTCATACCTCTATGTCATCACTCTCTTCCCTCGAGCTATCTCAGCTTTTCTTCTAAAGCTGTCATATTCTCTCTATTCTCTCTCTGGCCTTGAAGATGACGACTCTGTCTCATCCATGTTGTAGTGAGGATCAACTAAAGAAATGCCACTGTAATTACTCATGATTCTCCCCGGCAACGGCGCCAAATTGATAATAGGTTTTTAAGATCAATTAATCCTAAAGCACTATCATGTCGTTGTAGTACTTAAGGTTGTCAATCCAAATGGGTGTGATGCTAACAATCAAGATGTGATCAGAAGTAACTAAGTCAAGCCAAGCAGTAACTGGTTTTGGTGTGTTCTAGCAGTCCTAAGTGAACATGCAGAAAACAGAAATTCAAGCAGAATAATAAAAGCACTCGACCAACACAGCTCATTACAGAGCAGTAGGTGTGGTCGAGTGACTTGGTCGAGTAACAGTCAGTAAACGAAACAGAGACACTCGACTGCACAGTCTATTGCTAAACAACTGGGTGGTCGAGTATCAGGTCGAGTAACAGGAAAGAATTACAGAAACTAAGCAACAGATGACAAGATGCAGTAAACAGCAGTAGAGTAAACAATAAAATGAATCAGATAAAGAATTCCCGAAGATGGGGTAATTGAGTAGTTTCGTTTCCTCAGTTTACAGGTGATTGACATGCTCAATAAATTATCCCTAGACAACAAGTTCATTAACCAAATCTAAATGCCACCGCAACAGAGATCCTCAAGTTAACCTAGTCCCAGACTCAATCACCATTGACGAGAGCTAACCTAACAGGCATTACGAATCAACAAGTTAAAGCCAAAACGCTCCCTGCAACCAATACCTTGGTACAGGGTCACGAATCTCTGGAATTAGTGGTTCAGACATTTCATCGAACACCTTTTGGGCGCGGAAATGTCTGTGCTCAAATTCCAGTTGATCAGAAACCAATAGGCATTAAGAACAACTAATCCAGAAGGGATCTATCAATCAAACTCAACCACCTAGCATACTGAGAATTCTATACTACTCTAACCCATTCTCAGAAACCTATTCACTATTGAGACATCATTATGGAAAGCATAAACGTTGAATGGATTGAAAACATGATAACAACAGAGTAATAGCAAAATGATAACAGGATGAACAACTGTAAACGAAATCAAGAACAAATACTGAATACTAAATAGATAAAGGGAAATTCGGATTACAAAAGGTCTAGAACACAGTGTCTGCAGAATAAAACTAGATAAAAATTTGTTCTCGAAAATGTAAAGTACATGCTACTTATAGCAAAATATTCTGAAACCCTAATACTCAAAACGAAGCAGTATTGGGACGGATTAAGAACTGTACTCAACCCATTTGGTCGAGTGAGAGGTCGAGTGATGAGATAGAGTCTTCTTTTCTTCCTTGTGCTCGAGTGTCTGGTTGAGTGCGGAATGGTGACTCTGAAGCTTGCCATCGAGTATGTAGTCGACTGGTGGTGATGAAGATACTCGACTTCCAGATAGAGTGACGTGATCGAGTGATGGTCAGGTGGTGGAGGTGAAGACACTCGACCTCGAGGTCATGTGATGTGATTGAGTGACGGTCAGGTGGTGGAGGTGAATACACTCGACCAGGGGGTCGAGTGATGAGATGAAATTGTGAAATCCCCTACTCGACCAGGGGGTCGAGTGGTCTGTTGAGGTCTTCAAGCTTCTACTCGACCTTGTGGTCGAGTGGTTTGACATGATCAGGTCCGCTTCTTCAAGTTAGCTCGTCAACAACTCCAAATCACCTGAAATCAACACAAATATGCAACATGCATTCAAACGCTATCCTAAACATGCAAAGTGATGACAAATGATGAGAAATGGTATAAAACAGTGATGATATGATGCTAAAGTGATGCCAAATGGATGTTCAAAACATGCAAAATACACACTTATCAATTGACCATTGGAGTACATAAAGGATTCGCTTTATCCATATTAAAGCGCTTTAAAATCCTTTTTGTATAATTGAATTGATGCACAAATATACCATCTTGGAAATATCAATTAAACCTAAAGCACGAATCTCTGGAATTAGTGGTTCAAACATTTCATTGAACACCTTTTAGGCGCGGAAATGTCTGGGCTCAAATTCCAGTTGATCAGAAAGCAATAGGCATTAAGAACAACTAATCCAGAAGGAATCTATCAATCAATACTCAATCACCTAGCATACTGAGAATTCGACACTACTCTAACCCATCCTCAGAAACCTATTCACTACTCAGACATCATAACAGAAAGCATAAACGTTGAATAAGTTGAAAACATGATAACAACAGTGTAACAGCAGGATGATAACAGAATGAACAACAGTAAACGAAATCAAGAACAAAAGCTGAATACTGAATACTGAATAGATAAAGAGAAATCCGGACTACAAAAGGTCTAGAACACAAAGTCTGCGGAATAAAACTAGATAAAAAACTTGTTTGCGAAAATGTGAAGTACATGCTACTTATAGCCAAATATTCCGAAACCCTAATACTCAAAACGACAAAGTATTGGGACGGATTAAGAACTGTACTCGACCCATGGGGTCGAGTGGGAGGTCGAGTGAATAGTTGGAGTCTTCTTTTCTTCCTTGTGCTTGAGTGTCTGGTTGAGTGCGGAATGAAAAAGGCTCTGAAGCTTGTCATCGAGTATGCAGTTGAGTGGTGGTGATGGTGATACTCGACTTCCAGGTAGAGTGATGAGGTCGAGTAGTGGTCTGGCAATGGGATGAAGACACTCGACCTCAGGGTCGAGTGATGTGATCGAGTGGTGGTCAGGAGATGGAGATGAAGACACTCGACCTGGTGGTCGAGTGGTGAGGTGAAGTGGTGATGTCTTCTACTCGACTTGGGGGTCGAGTGGTCTCTTGAGATCTTGAAGCTCCTACTCGACCTCTGGGTCGAGTGGTTTATCATGATCAGGTCCGCTTCTTCCAGTTAGCTCGTCGACAGCTCCAAATCACCTGAAAACAACACAAATATGCAACGTGCATGCAAAACTATCCTAAACATGCAAAGTGATGACAAATGATGTGAAATGGTATAAAACAGTGATGATATAATGCTAAAGTGATGACAAATGGATGCTCAAAACATGCAAAATACACACTTATCACTCAATTTGGAGCCCAAGACAAAATTTTATCTTTCCAAGATCTTTTGTTTCGAACTTTTCTTTCATATGAGTTCGTGCACCATCAATCTCGTATGGAGTTCCAGTTATATTTAGGTCATCAACATAAACAGCAATGATCACAAATCTCAAAGGGGATTTCTTAATGAAGACGCAAGGGCAGATTTCATTATTCACATACCCTTTCTTAAGTAGATAATCTATTAAACAATTATACCACATGCATTTGGATTGTTTCAATCTGTAAAGTGATCGCTGTAATTTGACAAATATATATCTTTAGATTTTGATGTGTCTAATGCCTCGGGAAGTTTTAATCCTTCCGGGATTTTCATATATATATATCATTATCAAGAGATCCATATAAATAAGCTGTCACTACATCCATAAGGTACATATCTAAATTATTAGATGCCGAAAGGCTCATTAAGTACCTAAATGTAATTGCATCCATGACCGGAGAATATGTTTCTTCATAATCAACTCCTGGCCTTTGAGAGAAACCTTGTGCAACAAGTCATGTTTTATATCGTGTGATCTCATCTTTTATTATTTCTTTTTTGCACGAATACCCACTTGTATCCAACAGGTTTTACACTATCAGATGCAGTGACAATAGGTCCAAAGACATTTCTTTTATTAACGGAGTGCAACTCAGCTTGCATGGCATTTTTCCATCTCTCCCAATCTGGCCTTTTCTGGCACTTGGATAAAGTCTTCGGATCTG